TTTTGTTATGTCTAATATTCTTTAATTTAAGAAAAAGGAAAAGTTATTTGTGCTATGGCTTTATAATATTTAAAATTTTTACATTATTTTATTTAAAAATAGAAGAAGATTATTTAAAGATATGGAAAATTTGTTATGTATGGCTCTAAAAGTGAAATACGCAAGTATCTTCTAAGAATTTACAATCGTTCGTAATATTCACGTGTCGTTTGTAATGTTTGTGTATTACATGATGTTTGTGACTTAAATTCTTTTCCTGTCAAAAACGTGAGATTATTTGGAGTAAACTTGAAATTCTCACTGATGTAACATTTTGCGACATTTTATAAAATCGATTTTTTATTATAGAAATTATAGCAATTTTTTAAATTATAGTTAAATTATATAATCATCAAATTTAATAAAAATCTTTTTATGTTTCACGCACATAATACATTGGCAAGTTGATTTTATATTTTTAAAGTATTTTTAAAATATATTAACTTCATTTCATTATAATGTTACAGTACAATAGTTGTCAAAAGACTTTATTTAAAATTTTTATTAATAAACTTATTGAATATTAATATCAAGAGAAAAAAGTGTTGATAATCTTGACACACTGACCTGTAAATTATTTATTTTCGATTTTATTTCACTTAAAGGCCTACTTCACTGCTACGTTTCGTAAAGTCAGTTGCAAAATGATACACACAGAACAGAAGTGCTAGGCTTTATATTAACACAAGTGCATTCTTTTATACTCTGAAATGAAATTGTAGGTTTATATATGGTTTCATTTGGCACTACAAATGACCCTCACGAACACGACGTCTAATGATCTGTTTGGTCACTATTTATAGCGCCGGACTTCCTGATTCATTCTGAGTCTTGAGTAACTGAGACTTGGTAAACGTTAAATTCAAGTCGATTTATCCTTCAATAGACACTAACCTAATCGAGGTAGCAGCAATGATAAAGACGATAGCACCAGTGAGATCACGAACAGTGAATGCGACAAGCAGTTGGCTACATGTACTTATCATCTCGATAGTGAGACAAGAGAGGGGCTTGTTTCATTAAGAAGAAAACTGACAAACATTGAAGAAAATTGTAAATGAATGTTTAGTGTATTTTGCACAGTAGGTATATAATGTATTGAACAAGAAAGATATCAAAAAAATGCTGCATAAAATTTATCAGATTTTAAAGATTTATAATTTTTAAAATTAATTCATGCATTATTCGTCGGTGTCCATAATGCTGCCATAATGCTGCATTCTAAACTCGAATAATTTTTCCGAACGGTGAGAATATAGTAGAATTATTCACGAAGGTCGTTTATCATAAGCGTTATCTCAGGATATGAAATTCATATGTGATATTTAAGGGAAAAAAAACCTTCACGGATTTTATTCTGTATTAATATGCATCTCGATTAATATATCTAGTATTCTTTTATTGAGAAGATGTGTGAAGTAAAACAGTCAATGTATTTATAGTTAAGAATGGATTGTTCCATCTTTCGGTACTTTAGCTCATTATTCTTTTACTCTCTATGCTCTTATTCTTTTACACTGTCGTTAATTCAGTGGGTAATTATCAGTTTATCCGAAGATAGAACAGTTGACCTTAAAAGGGCAAGTTCTCAATGTATTAATTGCTTATTACATTTTTGCATATATATGTATTCATTTATTACAACACTGTATTCCGAATATTCATTGTTCTTTTTTGAACTATCTATTTTCTTTGATTTCACGACTAAGTTATAACAAAAGCTAGTATGAAATAATTTGATCACTCAATTTATAGAAAAAGTTGTATTTCTATCTATATAGCAACTATATGTATAAACACACGCTCTTATGTAATAAATTGCATATTATATATTATATATGTTTGTATATTATATTTGTTTGCATATTTTTGTGATATGTACACTTCTCTTAAACATTTTTTCACTTAACTTATGTTTTACTACCACAATTATTATATCAGATTTTAATAATTATTAAGATAAGCTTATTCTAATACGATAATTCGTAAGAGCTCTCACGCGTGATAGTCATATCACATGCAAGAATATCATCATCATGTTACAATATGATGAGGATACATATGCGAGTTTAAATTTAACTGTAGTGTTTAGTACTGTAGAATTACATGTTACGAGGACGTCTAGAAAATACTTCATGAGGACTCATTTTATCCTGATGATCACTCCGTGCATAAAAGCATCACGCTAGTGACGTGCACTTCGCTTCATGATGGAGGCATATGCGTGTATCATTATATACGATTAAATATATATATATATATATTTAAAAGTATATATGACATTACTCGATTGAGACTAATATTGCTCACATGCATGAGGATACATATCACTTGCACGCGTGAATCCGCACGCGTGCTAGTCATATGATCCTCATACAAATAAGGACATCTGTCTAGTGATATGAGGTCCCCCCGTGCGAAATCTACATGACGTGCGCGCACCGTGAGATCATGGTACTGGAATATTATCCATAGGAAAGCCTATATTATCCTATTCAAAGGTTTATATGAGCACTGTGTAGATAGGAGCACCCTCCATCATTTCAAAATTTGCATTAAAATAATACACTTCATTACAAAATACATAAAACATCAACAAACCTATCAAATGATAGAAACAAGATTTTTTATTTTTCAGTATGTAAGAAATATCAAAAT